TTATTTTTAGCTTATTTTGATCAATATATACCATTTTTCATCTATAATTCCAGTTATGATATAATTGTGACTATGTTTCAGGAAAGAGTAATGGAATATGGATTTAGTAGATTTAAAGGACCATGGGGTGCGGACTCACAAGGTAAAATGAATCTATTCACTATGCCATTGGTTTGATTGGTACTAATTATATATAATAAATTTATCAACATCATACAAATATTTATATATTGGAGCAAAAAAATAATAGTCAATCATTTGGATATAGAATGTACAACATATGGTGCATTGCCTTTATTTTTATGAGCTGGGAAAAAAAAAAAAAAATTAATCCGTAATTGGATTGAATAAAAACAATGAGCATGTAAGGCCACACTGATTTAATTTTATGGATGACATCCTCTTGAATACCCCAAAACTAATGCGAGAGGGCGAAAAAAAAAAAAAAACGGCCAAAAAAAAAAAATGCTGCTAAAACCACAGGACTACGAAGCTATTATTACGAATTTAACCACAGTGTATCAAAAAAACAACAAGTCTTAATTTGTAGGATGCACATGCTGATGTACACATTTCGTACTGTATTACTGTCACAGGTATCATCACTTTTGATTTTGAAAAGGCAAGAGGATAAGGCAGATGTTAGCTTTGCCAAATGCATACACATCAACGCAATAATAAAGAAAAACTTACTGTGTTGTATTGAAAAAAAAAAATTAAAAATGAACAATAAGTTTGTCAACAGCAACCTGGAAATTAACTTCTTTGACATTCAAACTACAGCTTTTAAAGTGACACTTCAGAAGTGTAGACACAAATGCTCTAGAACTACTTCAACTATGTAACAAATCATAAGAGGCTCGATATTGAAAAAAAAAAAAAACACCAACAGAGAGTCAACAAAAAATTGGATGCAGAAAATTATGTACATGTATCTTGATGAAAATGCGTCATATGATCAAAATATTACTGAATGTGTGTGCAAGCAAATTATCCGAATCAGAAAATGAAAAAAAAATAATAAGAAACTTTTCTTCACCCCGTAAGGGGACTTCGGCCAAGGAGCTTCTGCTGCTTTTGTTGCAGTTTTGCCGACTTCAATGCGGACAAAGCAACCGAACTGATTTGTCGCCTGACCGACTTTTAGGCCACCATACACCTCCACTCCTCTCATCATTGCAGAAGAAACCCGGGACAGCCACTCTGGACAATATGTTCTCAAAGTTGTCTTGGCGAAACTCGCTTGCCGCTACTGACCTCTCATATAGCTGTGTAAACGTCTCCCTGGCCAACGTCAATTGCATACCAGTCTACAACAATCTCTCCATTTCATCTCTGAACTTTTATGCTCACGTATTTTGGTGGTGTGGTCGCCATGTTGGATCGTTTATGGCAAAATTTGCATGTTTTGAGGCAATCTCTTTCCCATAGGTCTTTGCACTTTACGTAATGCGCATCTAACTGTGCGGAGTTTGGTTTTGAGGTAGTCCAAAACGAGTTTTACGACAAGTCGGCGCTTTGCAACAATATGAGTTGCCAAGTTCCGGACAGAAAACCGATCTGTAGAGACTCGTCGTCAGAGATTTTTTTTTTTTTTTTGAGAACAGGCGAAAACTAATGCGCGCGTGGATGTCATCCATAAAATTAAATCGGTGTAGCCTAAGTTAATTGTTTGTCAGCAAAATATATTCATTTTATGTCCATGTACCTATCCCAGCTGATTTTATTTAGAATTTGTACTGAAACATTGTTTAATGACCTCATATATTTTGATGATCAGAAGCAAAATGGCCAATGAACATGTTTTGCTACATAGCAATTTTGATTAGCATAGCAACATTATTTTTGTACACTGCATCACAAATAATGTAATGCATACATGTACTTAGGCAATTTCAGTCAAACTTAGAATATACTTTATACGTAGCTTCATTACATGCTTTTATTATAACTTAAGTATCATCACAGTATGACATCACATATTGCCGAACTTGTTTCATTGTACGCACTGCATCATGAGCTTGTTGCATGTGCAGAGCTTCTGGGTTTATATTGGTCATGGGGAACTGGAGGAAGCAAAAGAACAGCACAATGTAGATAATATTAGCCAGTTATCAAACATCATGAAAGTGAAATTAAGAGACCAATACAAACAGTCTTGGAAGGAGCAGCTAAACTCGTCCACTAGTAGTAGAGTCAACAATAAAGGCAATAAACTTAGGACATATAAACAATTTAAAATAAACTATGAACTTGAAAATTATCTAAATGAAATAAATAACTTTAGCTTACATAGAATGTTATCAAAATTCAAACTTAGTGATCACATTTTGGAAATTGAACTGGGGAGAAGGAGAAAACCAAAACTACCAGCAGCAGAAAGAGTCTGTAAAAAATGTGATCAAAGCGATATTGAAGATAAAAACATTTTCTTTTGAGCTGCTCACATTTTGAAAATGGAAAAAAAAATCCTCCTGAAAAACTGTGAAATTACCTTAAGAGAAAAGAACAAAGACATAATGTTCTTAAAAATTATGGAAAATAACATTGCCCTATCTCTATATCATAAAAATACCATATATAAAACATGGTACAGTAGGGAGAACCTTTACTTTGATTTACTTACTGTATTTTTATTACTTTCTGATTTTTTGTAGTTATTAGAACTTTTAAATTTGTAGTTATTTTTAGTTGCTTTATTTTACACTATTTTTTACTATTTTTAGCTCCCATGAAACGGAGCTTATGTGGTACCGGTAACTGTGACTCTGTGACTCTGTGACTAAAATTTGTTCTACTGATAACTCAAGATCTACAATTTCAATTCAAATGAAATTTGGCACACAGCTAATATATGATGAGTAGATGCGCTGATTAGATTTTGGTGCAATTCCATGCATATTAATTAGTCAATTATTGCATTAATTAATTTATAACTTAGAGTCTTTAAAGTTTCTTAACAATTATTTGACTAGGGTGAGTGGCCTAATTTGCATATTGCAATAACCTATTCTGTCACAAAAAAAAACTGGTAATATTTCATTGGAAGGTCTGCAAATTTTCAAATTTTAGTATATAATGATTTATTATATCATGATGGATGTTATTTGAGCAGATACAGCGACTAAAAACATCAAATGTATGTGAGTATGGGGAGTACGTATGCGCAGTTACAAGAGTGACGCAGCCATTTTTTCAGTTTTACGAAAAAGCAGTACCCTTTTCGATTTTCATGAACGCAAGTTCAATTTCACTTTGTGCCTCATATTCATCAATAGACAACAGCGAAGACAGATGCCGTACAACTTTCTGCCAATCTTGATTCGTAAATGTGCTGGTTACAGGTACAGTGTTCTCCTCGGGCATGCGTCGCTTAGACAATAGCTGCGTAACTTTCGTTTCGCCCGCGGTTCTGCAGTATTCTCATCAGGTGTTTTAAGGGTATCTGGTCCGATACTGTTCTTTCTTTCCACTATACTGTTTTCCTCAAGCTGGGCCGTTTCCAGGCCATTGTTTTGCAATGATGAATCAGAACAGAACAATTCGTGTGAACTGATCGATCCTAACTTATTATCTGGATACTCATATTTACCTGTGGATACTTCGGCCTACTTTCAAGCATGAATATAGAAGGAAATCAACGAATTTTTTTCAGTATCGTTCCAGACTTTGCAAGAAATTTATATAATAATCACAGTGATCACTACTATTGGGTTCAAAAATTATTTATGATCATTCAAAATATAGTGGCCATGGCTGTCGGTTCAACCAGTACTGACCTTCACCGCTATTGCGACGCCACGAGCAGAGAAAAGG